ATTATGTCAATGTTTGCTTCAAATTCTCTGAGGCTCTGTTGTTTGGTACATGTATGTTTATAACTGTTATTTCTTCTCAATGGGTTATCCACTTTATCATTATATAATGTCTTTCATTGTGAAAAATTTTTGTCTTAAAGTCTACTTTCATATTAGTATAGCCACACTAGGTCTCTTCAGCATAATGCTTGCACAGAATATGTTTCCATACTTTCAGTTTCAAACTATTTGTATCTCTAGATCTAAAGTGAGTTCCTTACACACAGTACATAGATGTATCATGATTTTTTATACATCCTGCCAAACTCTTGCCTTTTAATTAGTGAGTTTTATCCATTTACATTCAAAATAATTACAAATAACTATGAACTTTTATCATTTTGCTGTTTTCTATTTGTCATATTTTTGTTCCTCATTTCCTCCATCACTGCCTTTTTTGTTTGATTTTGTGTGTGTGTACCATTTTGATTCCCTGCTTCTCTTTTCTGTTTAGTTTTTAATTATTTTCTTAGTTGTTCCTTTGGGTATAACAATTAACATTTTAAACTTAAAACAACCTAGTTTGAATTAATGCCAACTTCACTTCGATAGTGTATAAAACCTCTGCACCTATACATCTCTGACCCTCCCCATCTATTGTTAGTTACAAATTACTTTTTTTTTTCTTTTTTTTGAAGTGGCTTCAGAAACAAATTACATTTTTATAGTGTGCCATTTGTCAGATTTATAACCTGAGTGATGGGATGAATTGTACCCCAAACTTCAGCATCACACAATACAGCTAGTGCTCGACTTACGACCATGATTGGGACCAACAGACCGTTCGTAACACGATTTGGTCGTTAAGTTGAGTAGGCTATATGCACGCGGAGATGGTGGTGCTGCCGGAAGCTGGTCCGCACTGTCGTACGCCCAGCTGGGCAACGTTTGCGCTGCCAGACGTGGAGCTGTCGTGGCTAGCGATTATGGTCGTAAAGTCGAATGGTCAGACGTTGCATAGGTCGTAAGTCGATCAATACCTGTATACCTAGATAATAAATATACCCCGAGTCTAAAATAAGTCAAATTTTTTTAAACATTTATAATTATTATTTTATGTCTTTGTCATCTGAATCATATAGGAAAAAAAGAGGAGTTACAAACCACAAATATAATGCTGGCTTTTATATTTTACCTAGAGTTACTTTAACCAGTGTTTTTTATTTCTTTGTCTTGGCTTCTTCTGCCTGCTCAAATCTTCTGCTGAAACTCTACAGTGAATTTTTTATTTCGGTTATTGTACTTTTCAATTCCAGAATTTGTTTGGTTCCTTTTTATAATTTGGTATCTCTTTATGGATGTTCTCTATTTGGTGAGACAGCACACTCCTGGTTTCCTTTAGCTCATAAAGCAATTTAGGACTCTTGATTTAAATTTCTTATCTAGGCCAGGCGCAGTGGCTCATGCCTATAATCCCAACACTTTGGGAGGCCAAGGCAGGCGAATCAATTGAGGTCAGGAGTTCGAAACCAGCCTGGCCAACATGGTAAAACCCTGTCGCGCACCTGTAGTCCCAGCTATACTCGGGAGGTTGAGGCAGGAGAATCACTTGAACCCAGGTGACAGAGGTTGCAGTGAGCCAAGACTGTGCCACTGCACTTCAGCCTGGATGACAGAGGGAGACTCCGTCTCAAAAAAAAAAAAAAGTCTTACCTAGTAAATCCACTGCCTAACCTCCTTGAAGACAGTTTCTATTAATTTCCTTTTTCCTGTCAATGAGTCACTTCATTGTTTATTTCCATGCCTCATTATTTCTTGTTAAAAACTGGACATATTAAATATTATGTAGCAACTATGGAAATCAAATTGTTCTCCACGCTCGCCAATACCCAGAGGTTGGTTGATGTTGCCTATTGTGGATTTATTGTTGTGTGTGTGTGTGTGTGTGTGTGTGTGTGTGTGTGTTTAGTGACTTTTACAAACTCTTTTTATAAAGTCTGTATTCTTCATCACATGTGGTCACTTTGAATCTATGTTCTGTTAGCTTAGTGACCAACTAGCATATTGACAGTTTGGTTTTTTTTTTTTTTAAAGACCTGGAGCAAAAATAAATGGGAAAAGAGAAATAATACACTCCTAGTCTTTGCAGATTGGCTCTGCATTAGGACACTCCTCAAAGTTTGGCCAGACCATTCACAACTCTGCCTCAGTCTTCACTTTCTGCTTACTCAGAGCCAGAAGAGACAGCTTAGGGTTTCTGATGGCCTCTTCTGGGCATGTGCCCAGCTCTGGGCATGTGCATGACCTTCTTCATTTCCCGGTATATATGGCAGCTTTTTAAAAAGCTCTTTTTCCCCAAGTATCTCTTTTCTAATGTCTTCCTTCTCAGGCTTTTCAGTCTCACTACCGATTGTCTCAACTGTTGTCCCTTGCTCCAGGCCACTGCAGACAATAACTGTGCCTTTAAATGCTTTTGGCAAAAGCCACCCCAGCTGTGGGAATAGTCCCAGTCAAAAGATACAAAGGTAGGCCCCTATGTTGGTCCAGGGAGCAGCTAGCCAGGTTAAAACCCACAAACACAATTCTTTGTTCGTTCTAACGTTAGCAACCTGTACGAGGAGTGTGGGCTTCTATCATCATGGTCACCACTGATCTGGGTGTGGAGGCTAGTAGGTAGGCAATTTAAAATGCCACAGCACTCTCAATCAACTCTGTAGAGCTCTGGAATACAGTAAAAACCTTAC